ATCATTAGCATTCTCTCATGCACCAAACATCCCATGGTCCTTTTGGCTGCAACAGTACAGAATCAATTAAAGATTCTTCTAAAAACAACTGCTCTGCTTCATGTTTCACACAGTGGCAGGACAAGTAATAGAGCTGGGTGGTAGAGAGTAATGCATTTCTCTGCTCAGGCAGGCCACACATCAGAGCACCCTCAGTCAAGGTTGTTGTTGTTGTTGTTCAGTTGCACAGTCGAGTCCGACTCTTCGCGACCCCATGGACCAGCTCCCGCCAGGCCTTCCTGTCTTCCACCGTCCTCTGAAGTTGGCTCAATTTCATGTTCATTGCATCTTTGACACTGTCTAACCATCTCATCCTTTGCCGTCCCCGTCTTCTTTGACCTTCAATCTTTCCCAGCATCAGGGTCTTCTCCAGTGAGTGCTCCCTTCTCATTTGGTGGCCAAAGTATTTGAGCTTCAGTTTCATTATCTGGCCTTCCAGGGAACAGTCAGGGTTGATTTCTTTTAGGATTGACTGATTTGATCTTCTTGCAGTCTAAGGGACTCTCAAGAGTCTTCTCCAGTACCATAGTTCAAAAGAATCTATTCTTCGGCACTCGGCCTTCCTTATAGTCCAACTCTCGCAGCCATACATTACTACTGGGAATACCATTGCTTTGACCATGTGGACTTTTGTTGGCAGGGTGATGTCTCTACTTTTTATCATGCTGTTTAGGTTCGCCATCGCTTTTCTCCCAAGGAGCAGGCGTCTTTTAATTTCATGGCTACTGCCACAGTCTGCGGTGATCTGGGATCCCAGGAACGTGAAGTCTGTCACTACTTCCACGACTTCCCCTTCTATTTGCCAAGGAGTGATGGGGCCGGATGCCATGATCTTAGCAGAGGGAGGGCCTCTTACTCCTTAGCAAAATGGAAAACAGGACTGGAGAACAGTAAAGCCATCAGTTTACATAGCATGATGCTATGCTTCCTATTTAATTCTTAAGGTCAAGACACATGCTCATGAAGGGCCAATACTTGGCTTAAAGTAGGCCGAATAAACGCTGATGGAAACTACTATGAATTGCTGTACTTGTTCCTTATTGTTGTGATACACTATCATACACCCACACATTTAAAACAAACTAAAACCCTAGTTAAAGAACTATTGCAGCCAGTTTAAACCCTTGCTACCCAAGTCAGCCCCATACCTAAAAGTCTTACAAATAGCTCAAAAGATTTTTAGCTCTGGACTTCTGAAGAATTCAACACAGAAGACAGTCCTACAGTCATTGAATAGCCAGCAGGAAGGTTTTTCTACATAACCTTGCTATTCAAACCTGACTCACAGAGAGCACTCTTAAGAGGATGCAACACAGTGGGACACAGGAAAGGAGGCAGACTTGAGCTCTTTCAGTCCTCCTTTAGTCCGGCCATTCCTTTCAGGTGTATGTTCACTGTTTGTTGTCTCTTCCTCTTCAGCCATAGGGTGGCCAGCCACCCAGTCTGAGCAGGTGTCCTCCACTTTTGCAGGCTCCTCCCTGCTGCCAGCCAGCTGGTCAGTGGGGGGAACCCCAACCACAAATGCCCTGGAATGCGATGTGTTGACGTCACCTGGAAATGATGTCATCACCTGGAAATGATGTCATCACATCACCGACATTCCATGGCAACGCTCCAGTTTTTGGGCAAAACTGTGTGGTAAACTTGGGTTCAGCAAGACCCAAAGATCCCACCGCTGGGAAGAAAGTAGGACCTGGCAACCCTATTCAGCCAGTAATTTCCATGGGTCTCTTCTTGATCTCCAACTCTTTATTGTTGTTGTTGCTGTTGTATTTAATTTATTTGTACCCCACATTTCTCCCCAATGAGGACCCAAAGCAGCTTACATTGTTCTCCTATCCTCCATTTTATCCTCACAACAACTCTGTGAGGTAGGTTAGGCTGAGAGAATGTGATCGGCCCAAGGTCACCCAGCAAGCTTCCATGACATGAGTGGGGATTTAAACCCGGGCCTTCCAAACACTAGTCCAGCACTGTTAGCCACTACACCATGCTGGCTCTTTACCTTGGCATTTCCTCTCTCTCTCAGTCTTGAATAAACATCTTCATGCAGATGACAGTCAAGTTTAGCTTCTACTCCTTCACTTTCTCCATTTGTTCTCTCCAATATCACTAATTGCTTTTCTGCTATTTCTGCTTGGATGACTTAGTGACACCTTAAAGTAAACACTGATAGACTTAATTAGTTCTCATTCCTAAACCAGTTCTTTCCTTTGCTGTCACTCAAGGCAGGCACAGTGGGTGTCTGTCCTTCTTTCATGATATGTAGTCTTGGGGTGCATCTTTTACATTCTTCTCATACCTTCTGCTGTTAACTAACATCTTTTTTTCAGTTTAGCATACTTCAATGTGGTGTTTTCTTCCTGTTTATACTATGCTTTTTATACCCTACCTTGAAAACTGTGCTTCTTTGTTCACTAGCTTCCCACCTTGAACCTCTAATTTCTCTTTCAAATACTATTCCACATTGATCATATTCTCCTCCTCCATCATTCCTTCCACTGACTGCCAGCTAGTCATATTCCATCTAAACATCTTTGCACCTTCAGTGCCTCTTCATGATGTGCCCCCTCCTTATTTAGCATCGGCAGCTCAGCTCATACACTGTGTTTTTTCACTCTGTTTTTGTTTAAGCCCTTGCTTTTTTAGTCTTCCTCTTCACCTGTTCTCACTTGCTTCTCCCGAAACTGGAATTCTCTTTCTTTAGAATTACCCATCTTTCCTCCTTTAAAAAATGTATTAAGCTATTTTCTTGCTTGCTTTTCTCTTTGTTTACTTTTCCGCTGTCATTTTGTGTGTGTGTGTTTTAAAGAAAGCCACTTCCATCACCTTGCGATTGTGATCATATAATTTTTGAAAGTGCATTGCCCTGAATTTACACTGGATATTCAGATTTCCTTTTCAGTCATCTCTCCCTTTGCCTTTAGTGTCTCATCTATTTTTAGAGGCAAAGCCTTTGGGCAAGGACTTGTCATTTGTTTTAATTTTCTGTGAAGCACACAGGGCGCTTTAGTGCTACACAAATATTAAAAGCAATGAGATGCCATACTTGTACCATCATTTTTGAACCACCATATACACAATTATACAGGCCTTTTAACCAGATGGCATAACTTGCTGTACAATTACCTTGGATTATGGGCATGTCTCCTTAACTCTTCAACAGGTCCTCTTCTACCTTTTTGCTAATGCACTAGTGTGTTTTACCTACCTTTCTCCATTTTAGCCTCTGTTTGTGAAAACCACGTTCTCATTAAATGACATACCTCCATAAACTAAAAAATAATAATGCATTTACTCTGAGAATGACAGCTATTTATCCTGCTATAGATGTAGTTCCCTGAACCTGAGTAGAACAGAAAAGCAGTTAGCTGAGAGGAGATGATGCCTTCCCAAGCAAGACTCTCTCACATGTCATATTTACTATTCTAGCCTTGTACAATTCAGTGGTTGCTCTTCCAGCCCTGATTTTTTATGCATTTCAGTCAACATCGCCCAGGGCCTGCCCCAAAGAGTGTCTAGTGCCCTAAACTTAGATGTTGCTTAACACAAACCTGCTTTCTTTTTTCAGACTTTTTAATGCACCCTCTCAAATGAATTTAGGTCACGGTTATATTACACTAAACATTAGCACCAAGCAACTATTTACTTCTGGTCTAAAGAAAAATATTTATTGGGTAGGATCCAGAAGAAAAACTTCATCAATGGGAAGGGGTAATTTTTGCTCATTCCTCCCTCCCACAGTAGACCTCTGGCTCCTCTCTCATGCTGTTCGGGGCTCACTGGGGCACATTTTGGGCTGCAGGTGTCTGGGGAGTCAGATAAATCTGCACCATTGCCAAAAATCCTGTCAACAGAGATTTTGCATGGGATCCTATTTACTATTTAGTTGTACCCTGTGCTCATCAGCATAATTCCCAAGGCAGCTTCCAGACAATGCTTAAAAACATATACAATCAAATTAATATAAAATCAACTAAGAAGAAATACACCAGACACCAACAAGAACACCATGGGCCAAAAGAAAACAATCACATGCACACAAACAAACACACATACAAACACAGATCAGTTAAAAGCCCAGAGTTTGTGGAATGTTTTCACCTGGCACCTAAAACTCAGCAAGCTAGGTGCCAGGCAAATCACTGTGGTGGGAAATTCCATAAACAAGTGGCCACAGTAGGAAAGGCCCTGTTGCTTGTGGTCCCTCATCTTACTGCTGAAGGAAGGTGAGACTTGCAGCTCAGAGTCTCTGAAGCAGGTCTTAACTGACAGATAGTTTAAGATGGGTCCAGGAGATCTTCTGAGCACTCTGATTCCAAAACACTTTAGGACTTTACAGGTAATAATTAGCACTTTGAACTGGGCTTGCAACCAATCATCAGCCAGTGTACGTAAGAACATAAGAAGATCCTGACATATCAGACCAGTGAGGGTCCATCCAGTCCAGCATCCTGTCTCACACAGCTGCCAACCAATTCCTCTGGAGGGCCAACAACAGGACGCAGAGGCCCAGGCCTTCTCCCAGTGTTTCCTCCTAGCACTGTAGATCTTTTAAATAGAGTACAAACAGCTGAGCCACTCCTCTTTGGTTGTCTTCCTATGCCATGTCCTCCCACAGTGGGAGAAAATGTCACAAGAAAAGCTCCATCTTAATAGGTCCCCAATAGGTTGGGAGCTCAGCAGCTGAACCTTCCTGTCTTCTGTGACACTGTTTGTCCATTCACCCTAAGTTCCATCAATAAGGACATTTTCCTTATCTCACTACAGCTCCTTGCACTTTGGCCATGGTTCACCACATACTTTTCGCATATGTTAGAGATTCCAATCAAACTTTAGTGTAATTTGTTTTTTCCGGTATATACAGTAGATGTGCTCCATCAGGATACCATACGCAACTTTAAAAATGCAACTTTGAACAGTCATCTAACCTAAACTAACTCAGTCCATTTCATACTTACTTTCATTATGTTTCGGCCATCAAATGACTCCCTTCCCTTGAAAAATTTGCCAATGGTTGTGTTGCTTTGCTCATCAGCTGCAAAATAAACAAATGAGGCCACAGTTCATATTTCCCTACTGGTAGTTTCCATACATGGCACACAACTCTGCATATACTTTTTCCGTACAAAATAAAACCTGCAAATTATTTCCAAAAGTACACTGCTAAAATTCCTGGAGTCATCAGTATTATTGCAAGGATTATGCAGAGTTGACAGCTCAGTGTAACAGAATTATCCACAGGAAACCAGAGTCTCATATTCAATGCTCTGTCAAGGCATATTTCAGCAGAAAAGCATTCTCTTGTCTCTTGAATTACTGAATCCAGCATCAAATATCCAATCACATTGTAGAGGCCATTCCTAAAAGCACCAAGGAAAATCAGGAAGCCATGCAATGCATCCTTGTACCCAAGGTGCCTCTGTGAGCGTAATGCCAGTAGCTGGGAACCAACCCAAGAAGACAAATTAATCCTTAGCTAGAGTTATGTCGGCTCTGCACATCTGCAGGGTCTCCTGATGAGGCTGTAGCTATCTATGTGGCACAGAATTCAGTGCCTGAAGTCTTCAAGTTTCAATTTATTTCAAGGAAGTTTCTAGTCTTCATGATAACAAGGAACCATGTGCAGCATGGTATGGGAAAGCTGAGATACCAAATGGCTGGAGACAGAACTGAGATATGGAATGCCTGGTGGGCTACTGTATCCCACAAAGCACTCTATATCAATTTACTGATTCTGCTACGCTGATTTTATTGATCTAATCTCCAGATCCTTTCTTTTCTCCTCCTTATTTGGAATTTATATTTATCAATGGATGAAGGCAAAGTACTGACTACCCCTGCTGTGCTAGAAATTGACATGGTTTTTTGAAAACCTGGATCTTCAAAGAAGATCTAACTGTGAGAAGTGACTGTACAAAACAGCCTTTAATTTCAGCTTGTAAACAGCAGCTCCTTGGTTGCCCATGGAAAGTGCCTCAGGTAGAGAAGCTGTACAAAAGCGAACGATTTCCTCCTTCTTATAAACTATCAAAAAATCATAGATTACTATGATATACTACAATAATTTGTGTAGTCTTGTCCTTTAAGGCTAATCAATTCATTGCAAAAACTCAGCAGCTTCTCCCCTCATTCTGTTGTGTAAAGATTGTCCAGCTGAGCAATAGAAATAGCAGAGAAGCACTGTTTGTGCATGAGAACTCATATCACACTAGAGAATGTGCAAGTGAAAAGAGTGTGGCTTAGTTTGAACTTTCACCCCAGGACTTTAAATTATACAGATTCCTTGATATAGAATATGGATTTTTCTGATGCAGCCTTGTATCTAGGTTCTTTCAACAGCCAAAATCAAAGCAGATCACTGAAATTGGTCTAATCTTGAATGCCCTCCCTTGGGCCTTGGCTGGGAGGGCGGGGTATAAATTCAATAAATAAATAAATAAATAATATGCACATAATGACTTTAGGAAATGTCCTTATATTAGCTGCACACACAATCTAAGCAAAGTGCTGATACTGAATGAAGATATTCTTAGTACTTAGCTGTACAGCTAATCAGTTATTCTTTTGTTTACTAATTTAGTCATTCTCATAAGAAAACTAGGTGCAGCCTGCTTACGGTTAGAGCATACTTTGATGGAAAGGCATATGTTATACACTCAGCAATAATTTACAACCAGTCATCCATTTTTAAATGTAGAAAATATTGATGAAGACAATGGCACTCTTGTTTAAAACGTAAAAGAAGATCTTAACTTCCCTGAAACATGCGAAAAAGGAACTAAGGGTCTGCTGGACATAAAACAGTGAGTTTAATACTTCAACTTAATGTCTTCTTCCAGTTATGACTCCAGATACACATAACCCCCATGTAGAAACTCATGTCCTTGTGAGGGTCATGAACCCATTATCTTTTGCTCAAACAATGACAAATGAGCAACGGCAAACCCAAGAATCAAATAGAATTCTCAGGAATCAAAACAGTTGCTATATTTTCTCAGAGACCTTTACAAATGCTCACCATTGGGATCTTTCCGGAAAAGTGTGTTCATAACAGTAGCATGGAGTTTCACTCTATCCCACTCTTTCAGCATTAGCCCTGAGGTCACAAAACGATCCATCAGTCTGTCTGCTATTAGCTGTAGCCTGTAAAAAGTAAATAAAGGCAACCAAGACCAACATTTAACTTTGTATAATAACAACATAATTTATATTTGGGATGTTCATAACCTTCAAAATAATAGGCTGGATCCTACAAAACTGTGAATGCAATGCTGTATAGCTCAGCTGCTTGTTTTATCTAGGATCCTTTCCACAATGAGAAAAAAGAAGGTAATGCTATCTCATGTTAGACCTCATGGTTTCAGTCATCTGCCTTACCTTCATTCAGCAAGGGAAGACCATCCACAATTTACAACAATATATGCTCAAAACTATATATTACCTTCATTGAAGTACAAAGTTGGGTTAGTAGTCATAACTGAATGGAATATATAGTCACATATCCAACAGATTACTCATGACAATTAAACATATTTTACAAAAAGAACATATTCAAAACCAACAGTAGGCTCCTCTATAATTCCATACATAAATAGTGTCCATAGACCTCCAAACAGAAAGTAAGTGTGGCAGAAGACGCTCACCGTGGAAAGAATAACAGCTATACGCCAATAAATCAAGACTTTCAATACTCTTCAACAGCAACTGGGAAAACAGAACCCGATTTCCAAAATAATAGGCACAGCTCAGTTACTTCAGTGGAATCCTAGGTTTTGTATATGTTCTTTTTGTAAAATATGTTTAATCGTAATGAGCAATCTGTTCGATATGTGCCTATACATTCTATACTGGGTTATGATTTCCAACAGAAAGCCATCAATGATTGTGAGTTACAACTAGATCATGGTAGTTACTTCTATCAATGGAATCAAGATCAACTTCTAGGTCCTTAGAAGTATTAGCGTGTTCAGCCCCAAAGCTGCCATCAATGCATATTTTCACACGTATGAGGTTCTAGATGTTGATATTGTCCAAAGATGGACAAAATATATAGATTTCACAGCTTCTTAGAAGTATTTGCATGACACCAGTTTTGTCAACGGCTGTAAATTATTTAGAAGTCAGATTAGAGAACTAGGTAGTTTATCAAGTATGTGGAACTTGGTATTGCTGGATCCCACCTCCCCCCCAGCCTGGAAGTACGATGACACCCATTAGTGCTAACTTGTAAGCTAAGAGTGTGCACCACAGGATAACCACATTTTTAAAGCCCTGCAGTTTTTTCTGAACCATTCCTTCCTTCAAAGCACTGAGTAAGGCTCATGGCCCCACAGACAGAGACTATTCATTAAATCCAAAATCCCTACCCATTAAAATGAGAGATAATTACCCAAATGTGAAATCTTGTCACTAAGCCCATTAGGAGCATAAATAGCTAGAGAGTTCATTCCTTCCTGGCTGTAGGTTGCCACCTTTGCCTTTAAGACCTGCTCAGAAGACTGAGATTGAATAGTAATTCCGCCTCCCTCTCCAATCGCCATTTGTTTGACAATCCTCAATGAGCTCATGCGATATAGCTCTGAGCTGCCCCTCTGAGGCGGTTCCTGGCCAATTTCTCATCTTACTGATTGAATCTTCCCCCCCTATCATTTCTGGCGATACATCAGTGGTTTTTAAAATTAGCGATGACAAATGAAAGAAGTATCATTACAGATGATACTAAAACAAATTAACAGAACAGCTCAAGTGAAATGGTGTTTTATGATGTTATAAAATTAATCAACGAAATGAGACAAATTAAAATGAATTACAATGAGAGTCTCTGCTACCCAGGAGTCAGCAGAGCACGACCTTGTCTCTTTCTGTCTCTCCCCGCACCTCCTCTGGCCCAGTCTAAATCAAAAGCAGAGAGGATTGTCTGCATCACCAAAGCAATAGAGGGAAACTTGATTCTTCTGCTTCATATAATCAGCTGTTTAGGAGCACACAGAAACTGGGAAGGACATCTGCCTCTCACATTGCCACGATCAGTTAACTGGGCACTTTTTTTTTTACTGATGATGAAGAAAGGGGAAGGAAATTTTCATAATATATCATAGACTGTTTATGAAGAAAGCCTTCAGGGAGGTACTGAAATCTGACATATTGCATTCACACGTAGATATAAAAATAAAAAAAAATGTTATTGCACATATTTATGATGCAGTTATTCCAGAATGAATGAATTACGATCTCTATGCTGTTTGCTTTGTGGCCGTAACTTATACTAGACAGAACCCTAGTTGAGGCATGTGCACGATCATAGAACAGGATCTAGTGGGCATTTCCTGAATCCTTTGAACCTCAGGGTGAAATAACTTATTGTTTCATGATTATTTTTCCCAGCACGTACTTGTTTATTTATTTTTGTAACAGAATGCTTTAAGGAGGAAGAATGGCAAGGGGGGAACTATTTGATTCTTTCCCTTTATTTCCCACCAAAAGCCATAATTCCCAAGCTGCATACCCATATTTCCCCGAGCATGGATAAAAGCAGCAGGATGGTGCTGGCATTTTTTTTTATATAGCAAAAACAGACAGCAACAACAACAAAAACAGAGAGGGGAGAAAGAGTTAATCTCTTCCTCCACCATCCAGCCATTTTGCCCACTAACTAAAAGTCTGCCCCCGCCAGCACCTTATGTAAATTAAAAAAAAAAACGAGCTGGAAAAATAACCTGGGAACATAATGTATTGCTCCATCTTTAGGGTTTTTAAACATGCAGGCCCAAAAACACCTGGGCAGGGTCTGCCAAAAGTTCAGCTATTTGAAAGAGGCCTCAGCTGAGGCTCAACTGCCAGGAGATGGAATTTCAGCACATCAAAGAGCTCCTCCTTATTTCTCCAAGTCCCAATGTAATAGTTAGTCTTAGAAAAATATTCTTAAACAGAGACAAAAACAGCAGAACAATGAATGAGAGTCAGAGTCCGTGTGTATGTTTGAAAAATATAGAAGCTTTACTAGAACTAACATTGGGAAAAAGGTAAACGGGAAACAAAACAACAAATGCTAGATTCCTGCATCTTTACTGCTAGGACATTACTACGATAATGGCACTTCTTCTTCTCCAAGCAAAGACAAAGGGAGGAAGAGACCCCAGTATGCTAAATAGCCAATACATTGATTTCCAGTCTCAAAGCTAAAGTTCAGGTCATTCTACTAAGACCTCCTACAAGATCTGGGGGCTTCTCTCACTCTGTAACAGATTGGGTACAAAAAAACACATGTGACTTTCTGCTGACCAAAACAAAACAAAGTTAACTCTATAATTTCTGAAGTGTTTTAACTTGCTGAAATCCAACACGGTGTCTTCTGTACCCTCACAAGGCTTTTTTCCCCACTACATATGTGATTGCTGCAGAGTCCTTCTAACAAGAACATCAAGCATTACAATTAGTACAAATTACCTGAATTAAATACTTTAACTGCACACCTGTTGACTTCATTCTGGTCACAGAATCTGAGATTTCGGGGGGGGGGCTAAACACTTTGGGATGTGTGAGCAATTGATTTTTCTCAATTTTTTCTTCTCAAAAACAATACGTCCACTTATGGAACATCTGCTGGATTTCCAAAGCAGATTCTGACCAAGCAGGAGTGGTCAGGACTCAGCATGTCATGAAGCAGGAGCACCAAGGGACATGAAGGGACTACAAGTTTCCAAACAGATTTCAAGCAAGGCAGAGGGTGAAAACCAGCAAGCAGCATGAATCAATATAATGTAAGCCTCTAATAACCACAGCTGCACTAAGAAAAGCTAAATTATATACAGTACAAGTAGAGGACAGATTTGCATATATTAATTTTGCATGACTTATTCTGCTTCCAAGGTTCAGATCTGCACCAAAAGGGGGGGGTGTTGGCAAAGAACTGAGGCAGAAAGGAATAAAGAGATGAGGTAAAGACATGGAAACTAGCATTAGTTGGACTGGATGACTGGAAAGGGGGAAGATACCACACAAAGAGGTAATCACAGAGCCCTGATACCACTACCCTTATCTGGTTATCTCTGGAAACTTTACCCAGTCGCTTTCTGGCTGCACAGCTTTCCCTGTGTACTGTCATACATTTCCAATATTTCTTCTTCCAAGGTTAAAAATGTGCTTTTTCCAACATGAATCTGGATGCCAAATTCTGCTGCAGACACTGAATGCTACACTTACCTAGTGAAACTGCTCTTGCTACCCTGCTTCCAAATCATAATTAGGGTAGAATCCTGGTTAGCATCAGCCATTGTTAAAGCTGGCATTGTATCTGTTAAAATTATAGTTCAGGCGACTGAAGGAAAGGTGGGGGATTCGTGCTTGAGGAGGAAGGTGGGGAAGGGAAAGCACGGAATGTTGGACTTTTGGTCTGATCCAGGAGGGCTCACCTTCCGCTCCTCCATTTGTCTGGAGCTGGAGACATGAAGCTGCCTTGATGATGATGAAGGAATCAGACCCTTGATCCATCGGACTCCAGGGTCTCATGCAGAAGTCTTTCACACCACCTACCACCTGAGTCTTTTAACTGAAGATGCTGGAGTTTGAACCTGGGACCTTCTGTGTGACAAGGAGATGCTCTGCCACTGAGCCCCAAGGAGATGCTCTGCCACTGAGCCACGGCCTATTCGCAGTCCTTTAACTGGCTAAGGGGATGGTCCTCATGCAGGCTGCATCATCCTGGTGGTGCTTCTTCCCTTATGCTTCCGCAGGCTTCACAAGCACAGCAGTTATAAAGTATGATGCCCAGTGGACATAAATGTAATCAAAGCAAAAGGCACTACAAAATTGTGTTAGTTGTGTTGCTAAGCAAGCGGATGAATGGACACTGGCTAGCAAAGTTAATTTTTTCTCAGCCAGGTCCTTAAATTGATGGCCAGGTGAGAAGGAATCACTAAGATCAAGCAGAATCACACCAAGTGGATACTCTGCAATTATCCTCTTTCATTTAATACCACATTATCAACTCAAGGGCAAACTCATTACAGACCTATCTCTATTGACAAAGACATAGAAATACCTCCTGGATGTCTGGAAACATGTTCTTTGGCAGAAGCAATCAAACTCTGAGATTGAGAGGCTTCCCGATGCATTACTGTTGCCAATTCAAATATCATTTCATACCTCAATGGAGGGGAAATGACCACAGAAAAAGCAGAAGAAACATACTGGTTGGATCCATCCTTCATGGTGACTTTTGCATAGAGAATATCCATCATAGCTGGATCATCATTCATGTACTCTATACCTGCGACTTCCACAGTTAGCGGTTTGCCTCCAGCAATTGCACTTTAGAGAAGGAAAAAGAACACCAAATTTTGTTCATATTTAATATTACGAGGCCATTACATATTTCATGATCTCAAATGCACATGACAAAGCTAATCACCAGCCCAGTCCCTCTCCCATTTGTATGATGAAAAACAGTAGAATTCCCAACAGCATACCATTCAGCTTCCACCCTAGAAGACAGGCTGACTGCTCACTGTTCAGTTTTGTGATTGAAAAGTACTGGGTTCGACGCATGGAGATCTCGGACCATGACATGCGTTCAGATGTGTTTATTGTACTTCACAACAAGAGATACAAAATGGGCCTGCAAGGCCACTCCATCCGACACACCTCTGTCCCCATTGGAGGGTTTGAATCTCTCAGCAAGGGTGCTATTGGTGGACTCCGGGTGGACTAGGATCCTAAGTCCGCTTTGTTTTGGGGAACAAGCTCCTGCTTTAGCCGCGGACCCCTGGTGGCGATCCATGTACATAACAGTGATTGTTCCCACTGCTGCTTCAGTTACAGTAGCCTCTCTCGCGACTTTACCAGAAATATTCATCCTCCCCTCTGCCACTGCAACAGAGATTCCAGCAGGCAGTCTGATTCTTCTGTTATGCTCTCAGCTAGTTAGAGCAAGGCCACTCACACAACACTACGCAGCACGAGATGTCTCCAGCCCCACTAAAGCTCCCTCAGACCTTAGACACACCCTGGGTTCCAGTAACAGACTGACTCAGCTGTTGGGTTCATTCTAGCAATGCTACTGTGGATAGATCAAGATGGGTAGCCATACTGGTCTGTCTGTAGCAGTAGAAAAGAGCAAGAGTCCAGTTGCACCTTAAGGGCTAACAAAATTTGTGGCAGGGGATGAGCATTTGTGGGTCACTGCTTCACTCTGTGACTCACAAAAGCTCATGCCCTGCCACAAATGTTGTTCGTCTTTTTTTTTTTTGCAAATAACTTTTTATTATAATTTTCAATTAACAATACAAATCAACAAACATTTCAATATTTAACAAATTAAGTAACTAACAGTGTCATAAGAATGCAAAGTCTTTATATTTGTGTGGCAAGCTAAAGGTATGAGGTTGGCAACTCTTTATGTAGTCAAAAAAACGAAACCACTTCTCCATAAAGTTATTTGAGCTCTTTGGATTGTCTTGTGCAATCAGTTGCATTGCAATTTTGTCTGTTACAATTAGATCCCAGATTTTTGCTTTCCATTGAGTTAACGTTGGAAGTCTTTGTGTTTTCCATTTCTGTGCCAATAATATTTTGGCCGCCATCAAAAAAATTGAAATAATGTCTATCATTTGTTTAGTCTTCAAGCCAGGCCAATAGTGCAATAAGAGTGATTCTGGAGTGTTCGGTATCTCATGACCTGTAATAAGTTTTAATTCGTTCAAGATTTTACACCAATATTCTTGTACTCTGGGGCACGCCCACCAACAATGTTTTAAATCTCCTACTTCCCCACATCCTTTCCAACACTGTGGCGTTTGCTTAAACCCACTTTTGAATAATCGGTTAGGTGTAAGGTACCACCTTGCATGTAATTTAAAATGTTGGAGTCTTAAGTTTAAATGTCTACTAGAGCACACACCTGAGGACCAAATGTGATTCCATTGTGAATCTGTAAGTTGTATTCCGCAATCTTTTTGCCAAGCTTTTTGAATTGAGGTGGATTGTGACCATATTTTTGTACTTAATAATTGGTAAATTTTTGCTAATAGTGATTTCGTCTCTTGTCTTTGTTCTTTCAAAAATAATTCAAATGATGTTAATTCTCTATAGATATCCGTTGTTTGGATCAAATCTGATAGCATGTGATGAAGTTGTGAATATGATATCCAAGGTATAGAGGTACCGTACTTCTGTTCTATCTGGTGTTGAGTTCCAATTTTTTTATTAAATAAAAAGTCTATGATCCTGTGAATACCTTTGGCTTTAAGATCTGACATATAGTGTTTGTCTGTTCCAGGAGTAAACCAGGGTTGTCCAAATATCGTGTTTAAGGGTGAAACTCCTGGAGCCAGGACTTGTCTATATTTGTTCCAAGTTTGCAAGGTATGCTTTAAAAAGGGATTATGTAATTTCGTTACCTCCTGCTGCTTAGGTATGTTCCAAATTAATTCACTTAAGTGTTTAGGTTTGATTTCTAATTGTTCTATATGGACCCATTTTTTTGTACATGAAGTTAGAGAGTAATAGTGAATATTCTTAAAATGTGATGCAATAAAGTATTTTTCCAGGTCTGGTAGTCCTAATCCCCCTAAATTTTGGGGTTTGGTTAGTGTAACATAATTTATTCTGGCTTTTTTTCCATTCCAGATAAATTTGGTCAACATGTTTCTCCATGCTAAGATGTCTTTTTTCGGGATTGGAATTGGTAAATTTTGAAAAAAATATAGGAATTTAGGAAGCAGTATTGCTTTAATTAAATTAATTTTTTCCATCAGGTTTAAGTGGTGTTTGTTCCAATCTTGTAGAGATAGTTTTGTTTGTGCCACCAGGGGAGTATAGTTTGAAACATATAAGTCATTTAAGTTTATTGGAATATTTATACCTAGGTGTTTCCATGTTTTAGTTACCCAATTAAAATTAAATTTCGACTTCAACAATGATCTCTCAGATGCTGTGATATGAATTGGATAAATTTCTGATTTTTTATAATTAACTGCAAATCTAGAAATAGTACCAATGTTTTGTAAGTGAACAGTTAGGTTTTTCAAAGAAATTTCTGGTTGTGTTAAATAAAATATTGCATCATCAGCATATAAATCCAATTTAATTTGTTCTGTGTTTAATTGTATTCCATGTATGTTTACATCAGTTCTGATTGCGTGGGCCAGTGGTTCAATTGATATAGCAAACAACAAGGGAGACAAGGGGCAGCCCTGCCTGGTACCTCTTGTCAAATAAATGTCTTTAGAACGAAAGTGGTTAACACAAATTTGAGCTGCAGGGGATTGATAAAAGGTTCGAATAGTTTGTTGAAATAATGGGCCGAAATTCATTACTCTAAGAAGTTCCAGTAAATATCCAGGCTCCACCCTGTCAAAAGCTTTTTCAGCATCTGTTGATAGGATGAGGGATTGTATCTTATTTTGATTGCAAAAATTTATTACATTAAGCGTTGCGAATACTATCTGTTATTGTCCGACCTGGCATAAAGCCACTTTGATCCTCGTGAACATAGTTAGTGATTATTTTGTTTAGTCTCGATGCTAAGATAGTTGATAAAATTTTAAAGTCGTGGTTTAAAATTGAAATAGGCCTGTATGAGGATGCTACTGTCCTGTCTTTACCAGGTTTGGGTATAACGATTATGCGTGCTTCTGACCAGGTTTGTGGCATTTTACCGTTTTGCATTACATAGTTTAAAATAGTTTCAAGGTGTTCCACTATGGTTGATTGAAATTTCTTATAGAACTCAATTGGAATTCCATCCCTTCCTGGGGTCTTATTATTTTTCATTTTTGATAAGGCTTGTGTGATTTCTATACTGGTTATAGGTTGATCTAAATAGCTTTGGTGTTCATCCGTTGGTTTGGTTTGAAATCCTATAGAGGATAAATATTCTTGTATCTTTTTTTGTTCCGGATGATCTGAGGCAGGGCTCTAGTCGGGGGGGAGCTCTCAGGTACGGAGCTCCGGAAGAGAACCTCTAGGGGGCGGGGCGGTCACGTGGTGAAGCCCCGCCCCTTCTTTACCCCACCCTCTGCTTCGATCCTCATTCCGTTTGGGAATGAGGATGAAGCAGGAGGGTAAGTAGCCGGGCCTTCTGACACACTTCCGGTGATGTCAGGGGGTGTGGCCTTCTGTCACTTCCGGTGATGTCAGGGGGCGTGGCATATGCAAATAAGTTATGCTAATGAGTTATGCTAATGAGCTCCGGCAGCTCTTTTTCTACAACAAGACCCCTGATCTGAGGTATATAATTGCTGGTAGTAATCACTAAAAGCCCTTGTTATATTTTCTGGTATTACCTGAGTTTTGCCCTCTGGATCTCTCAGTGCATGAACTAAGGTTGATGCCCGTTTTTGGTCCACCTTGTGCTTAAGTGTTTTTATAGATTTAGAAGTTCTTGTAACATATTTTTGTTTTCTAAATAGTAGATTTTTTTGTATTTTAGAAGTTTCCAATATTTCTAATTTCTTACGTTCCTGAAATAATTTTTTCTTCAGTTTATTCCCCCCATATTTCATGTGTTTTTGTTCTAGCTCTTTAATAGATTTTTGCAAATCTGTTCCTAATTTTTGTTTTTCTTTTTTACAGTAAGAAGTCAAAGAAATTAGCTGTCCCCTCAAAACAGCTTTAAAAGCATCCCAGATGATTGTTGGGTTCACATCGTCCGTCAAATTATTATGGAAATATTATTTTATCTTATCCTCAATTTCTTTTGTAAATCTATCATTTTGCAATAAAATTTTGTTTAACATCCAGTTTGGCCCCATGTTGTCTCCTTTTTGATATCCTATAGTACCCTTGACCCACGCATGGTCAGACATGCTTATTGTCCCAATTTCTGCATCATGGATTTGTGGCATTAAGTTTGACGAGACCAGGATATAATCGAAACGCGAGTATGTTTCATGCGTATGAGAATAAAATGAGTATTCCTTCACAGATGGGTTTAATATTCTCCATATGTCTTTGAGATTAAACTGTTCCAAAATCTTTCCTAGTGTCTGTATTACATGTATTTAGTTTTTTAGTTGGTTTTCTATTGTGGTGATGTGATCGATCCAAAGTAGGATTGATAATAAAATTTAAATCCCCGCCAATCAAAATTTCACCATGTCCAAAATTCATTAATAAATCCATTACTGATTTTATAAAATTAATTTGATCATTGTTCGGTGCATATATGGATGTGATAGTCAAGGGTTCCCCACTTAACATACCCTTAATAAAGACATACCTTCCCCTAGGGTCTGTTTTTGTGTGTGTGTGTTGAAATGGAAGATTTTTAGATAAAAGTATTGCGGTACCTCTAGATTTGGACGATCCAG